GCTTGGATGTATTTTTTTTACCCAATATTTGTAGTGCTCTTAGAACAATGCCGAAATATCATTTAGTATATAAAAAAATGTTCTTAGATACATGCCTGGATTTGCCTTTAGGCAATTTAGGAATTTGCCTATAGCCGAAAATTGTTAAAGGGCACCTTTACAGGTTTTTTTTTAACATTTATAGTCTAAATAAAAGAGGAGTGCAGTAAAAGTGTATATATAACGTCACATTCCATAGCCGTACTTTGCATAATAGGTTTCTATAACAAAAATAAGCGAGATAGGCTATATAGTTTTAAACCTTTCTTCCAAACTTAAAGAAAGTTTTTCATTTTCTTTTTTGTAACTTGAATCGTTAATATACAAACTTTAAAAGTAATTTTGTCTTCTGAAACTCTAGTAAATTAGAATTTGTTTTTACCAAGTTCAAATTCTTATTAATTTTGTATTCTGATAATTTTAAAAACAATAAAAAATTATTATTTTGCAATATGTTTCTTTTCTTTTATCTCACCCTGTATGTTATTCAAATAAGCAAAGTCTATTTATTTATTTATTTATTTATTTATTTATTTATTTACTAATTATGCCTAATGGTTCCTAAACTTTATAAAACTTTTACCAAGAAATATCAATGATTTACACAAATCATTCATAAGCATTATTTAAAGAAATTTATAAATATCGAAATGATCTATATAAAAACTAATGGATATACCAAATACTTTTTTATTTAATTTGAATTTTTGACTGCGAGAACTGAGTCAATTCGTCAGAAACATTATTGGTTCACTGCAAGAATCGATTACTTTTCTAAACTATCTTTTACTTTCTATACAGCCTTTCGATTATTTCGACAAATAAGGTAGATGCTATATCTTTCACTAGTAACAACCAAGAAATATGTTTGTTATTTCTAAATTTCTATCTATTAAAATAAATATCTTAGTATTTTTATAAGAAAATGTGTAGTATTACAAATAACATATTATTTCTTACTACCACTGTGCATTGTTCAAGAAAACACTATAATCCAGTACAATTGTGAAAAGAAGGTTTGTAATTACATAAAATGCTATTTTAATCTTGCTTACTTGAATTTTATGTTAATTTCAAGTACTAAAATGTTGAATTTTGCAAATTTTACTATTTTTTTAGGAGATGAAGAGAAATTTCGGCATCCTTCCTCCTTTAAGGGTCCAAAATCAAATAACTGTTTTTTTGGTATCCCTTGGATCTCTCCATAATTACCTGTGATTACACCAATCATAAACTTTAAATAGTTATAACATCACATATTATCATCAATTGTTTCCTTTTCAGATCTATTGTGAGACTCCGTTTGTTTTAGAGTCTAGATTGGTCTTTTTTATTAGACTTAGTAGCTTTGACAGTGGCTCCCGCATGTAGTCGCATGCGTTTGGCTTTTCTTCGCCCAATGTTAGAAACCTCATTCCAGCCAGGCCTTCACATTGGGACAGGACGTGGAATGATGTTTCCTCTTCTTCTTCACAGAACCTGCACAAAGTTGCTTCTTCTGCTGGATTGATGACACCCATGCGCCTTTTGAGGCGACAGTGTCCAGGCCTACTGTTATCCTAACGATTTGACGCTTTTGATCCAGTAGGTATTTCGTGAACTTGGCCGATGGTTCCTTGATGAACTGTTTGGCCTGTCTCAGTCTTGGATAATTGGTCCACTATTCCTGAAACTCTTTTTGAATTCATTGTTTAATGGAAGCCTTGCACAATGCCTTAGCAACTCCACAGAAGGGTTCGGGGCCTGTCATGGCCTTATCTGAGCGTTCTCGGGCTAATTCGTCAGCCTTTTCGTTGCCCTGATATACCTCATGGCCTGGCACTTAAGCTAGGGTCACCTTATTTTGACTACTTAGCTCTGTCAGGTCTTCTACACAGTCTTTCACCAGTCGTGATTTGATTTCTAATGAGAGAATTGCCTTTAGAGCTGCTTGGCTATCAGAGTATATGGCAATAGTTTTGACTGATAATTGCTAATTTAAAATTTCTCTTGCACAGTGTTGTATGGCTGTTAATTCAGTCTGGAACACTGTTGCATATTTTCCTAAACTCTGCGAAATCGTTGTTTTCGACTTGAGTCCATAGATTCCAGCACCGCCTCCTTCCTTGGTTTTTGAACCGTCTGTGTACCAGACGAGTTCAGCCTGTACGGGAGGTCCCTGTTTCCAGGATTTTCGGGCTGGTATTTGAATTTGAAAGTTTCTTTCAAATTTGTATGTGGTTATGGCTCTATCAGTAGGCATAGCTAGAATAGTATCCCTTTTTACTTGCTGATATGGCCTTGTGTGGTCGGCGCTATGTAGTTGGCTTATTGGGTTTTGTCCCTGCATTAGTCTGTGAATATCTGACCTGGTTTCTTCTTGTATGAAGATGTACAGTGCCGTGAGATTTAATAATACCTCCATTGCTGCAGTCGACGTAGTGCGCATGGCCTCAGTAACACTTAGACAGGCAAGCCGCTGAATGCCAGTGAGTTGGCCTTTTGCACTTGCATTTGCAGTTTTGGTTACCCAGGCCACTGCGCCATAGGTTATCATGGGTCTTATTACCCTTGTGTATAACCATATGGTCACTTTCCACATATTCTTCTACAGTTTACGAGAGCTATTGTAGCTTTGTATGTGAGTTTTTTGAGATGTTGATTCCACTTCAGCCTTTGGTCAAATATGACTCCGAGGTATTTGACTTCTGTGACGAACGGGATAACTATGTTGTTTAGTACTAGTGGTCTTAGTCCTGTACCCGTTTTTTGTGAATGATACAACTGTTGTTTTTTGTGCGTTAATGGACAATTGTTTCTTTTCACTATGTTTAGAGCTGTTTGAGATCGCTCCGAGACTGTGCCTGCAAATCGCCCCCTGGCGAGAATTGTTAGGTCGTCTGCGTATCCTAGGCACTGGTAGCCTTCTTTGTACAATGTTTTGAGCAAGAACTGACTACAGCATTAGAGATTATATTCCCCCTTGTGGGCAGACCCGTATAACTTTTGTCTGTATGGTTGCTTTCCTAGAGTGGATAAAATAATCCTGTTCTCTAGACAGGCAGTGATCCATTGGCATATTGTAACTGGGACGTTTCTCTCTTCTAAAGCCTTGGTTATTAACCTGGTTGAGGCATTGTTGAAAGCTCCTTCGATATCTAAGAAAGTGGCTATTGCGATTTCTTTGTCATCTATTGACTTTGAAAGCAGCCTGTTTAGATCGTCCAGCACTAGGTCAGTTAACTTTCCTAGCTGGTATGCATATTGGTTGGGATGGAGCAGATTTATTTTTAGTATTTCGTCCCTGATATACCTATCTATCAATCTTTCTAGAGTATTAAGTAGGAAGGAGGATAGGCTTATGGGGCGATATGACTTGGCGTTTGTTCTGTGACCCTACCTACTTTGGCAAGGTAGACTACTTTCGCCTTTTACCATATTGCTGGGATATATCTCCAGGAAATGCATGCTATGAAGATTTTGCATAAATGTGGCGTTAACACATCTTTCCGGGAATTTGTATGCCTTAAATTTGTTGAGAGCCTAACTAATCCTGTGTGGTCTTGTGATCTCGGAGGCCAGCTTTCAGTATATTGGAGTTGGTCTGATCCCCTTGTGACTGTAGCTCCCTTGGTCTCCGGAATCTAGTCCTGTTAGGATAGTTGAGGCCGGAAAGTGCTCCTCAGTTAGTATCTCTAGACTTTCCTCTAGTGTCGTGTATTTTTTGAGGAATCCCACTTGACTAGATGTACTGTCTTTGGCTATAACTCTATGGATTCTAGCGCTGGCGGTGGTCTCTGAGACCTCTTCGCAGAACTTTCTCCATAAGTTTCTTTTAGCCTTGCGTACTTCCTTGTTATATTCTGTGAGCTTATTTTTATAAGTAGTTCAGTCTTGTGTGGATTTGGCTATGTTGGATAGCCTTCGCACCTCGCCTCTCATGCTATCTAGGTGTTTATTCCACAAGACTATTTTTCTCGTTTGGCATCTCTCTTTTACGGGACAGTTTTCTTGGTAGGCATCAGTAATTGCCTTGTTTACCAAGTTTACCGTTCTTTCGAGTATTTTTGTTTCTCGTACATGTAAGTAATAACTTTATTTGACTATTTTTCATAACTGCCAATTAGAATAATTTCACCAAAGAGTCTGTTACTTTGATATTTATAACTTAAACATTTTTTACTATTTTTAGTTTACAAATTTTAAGTTGTCTTCAGATATAATGACAATATATGCATTTTCTTCCTTTTCTAGGTATTTACTTACGTCGTTTCTATTTTACGCGATATAATTCGAAAAAACCGCTTTCAATCTAGCGAAAATTTCGAAATAATCCTGCATGTTAAAAACGACACCAAACATTATTCATTCACAAATACCTGACATAGTTTATATTAACAATTTATTCTGAAGCGTACATATATACCACCTAGACGTTTACACGATTTGACGCTGCGAAAAGTTGGAAGTTTTTAATAAAATTCAAACAGATGTGACGGGCATACGTGTTGTCCGTGAGTAGGTACGCGACACGGTGATTTCGTTAGATATTTTGGCATCGTCGTCGCGTCGCAATAACGATGTTAATGTTAGGAATAAAATCCTTGATAAAATTTCTTTTTTTTTGTTATAAGGTGTCGCTTTATTGCTTGAATTCATCGGACTTTTAAAGAAGTAAAAAAGGTGGAATCAAATTATATAGATATATATGTCTATCAGACGATTTAATTTCTAACAATAAATATCAAAATTAAAAAAAATGTCCAAAAAGACTAGATGATATAGATAAGAATTCAGTATGGTGCTAGAGAATTAAATCGTTATTTAAGTTATTAAAATGTCAAGTTTTAACCTGCAGTAGAAACAAATATGTCGTTTCATCGTCAGTTATGATCGAGGGGGCATAAAAAAATATAATTTTTCCCATATTAAGATTGCATTCTAAGTAACTAACCCCTTAACTGTGGATATCATATTAATTTTCACTTCTGTTCTGTACTAAACACGTGATCTTTTTTCACCGACATTGTGGGACCGTGTATCAAAATTCGATGTAACTTGTGACGCACTTTGGTTTTAGATGGTTCAAAGACTGTCAGATTCTGAGGTATTTTATGTTCCAATTCGCATATTAATCTCAAAATCTCGGTTTTTGGACATTCATCTTTTTGCCGCTGTAACGCAATGCTCGCTGTATTTTTTTGAGCCGTATTACTGGTATTACGGCCGCCATAAGACGATACCGCTTTCTAGGAAACCAAAGCTTTACTGGTTACCGACTAAAATGAAGAGTTTCTTCGTCTGCAATGTTTCGTTAAAGTAATTAGAGTTTGAAAGCCGTAAATCGCGATTACGGATTTATTTGTAGAATCGTTCTGCTCCGTTTTTGTAGGTCATATAACAGAAATTACTAACGAAATGCGATTGTTACATAAATAACGAGGGTAAGGACTGGGTTAACTGAAAATCATGACATGACAAGTAGATAAATTGATGGTATGTGCACCACCAGTTTAATTTGCAAAATGCACGGGGACGGGCCCAACCGATGCGTCATTCATAAACTTTTATTCGCTGGGAAAAGTTTGAACGCTTTGCTTTCCGAAACAAATTATTAGAATGTACTACTAATATATTGCCTGTTAACCGTTAACGCGTTTTTTTTTTGCCAATGCTAGCGTTCACGGCGAATTTTATTTTTAACTTTCAACGATATATTGCATCCGGATTGTTTTAGTTTTTCATTAAGAATAAAATTGAGTGTAGTAATGAATTGAATTTGTAGCGTAGAAATATAGTAAACGATAATACAGGTTGAATATAATCAAATTTTAAATGTATTAACAAGTCCGGTCATTCTCTAATCCCTTAAGTCCCCATCTGCCTTATTTGTGCCTTTTACGGCCTTTATTTTCCCGTTATCAAGAATATTTGATGAAGTGAGTAAACCACCGAACTCCCGTTAGGGACGACTATGGTTAGACACCTTCAATAATCGTAAACCATAATTATTCAATACAAATTAAAAAATAAAATAATTTCGTACTTCAATATATTTAAATATTATTGAAATGTAATTAAAGTTATTTACCTGTTGCTTCTGATGTTTTCGTTTTCAGCATAAACATAGTGTCTAATTCACCCTTTCTACTTTCAAAGTAATTATACGCATTTTCCCCTCATTTTTAAAAATTTTAAAAAGAAAATTGGTTTGATAGACATATTACTCAAAACTATTAATTTGTGTATGTTGCGCTACTGACTGTAAGTATAACAGGTATACTAGATGAAGCCATCTAAAAACGTTTAAAAAAAAACATTTTAAAAACAAAAAAACTTTCATAATAATTAAAAAAACGGTTTTTTTATGAAAAAATAAAACACTTATAACATAAATAACTCACGGATGGTGGGTACTGAAAAGTTTCATCAATCTAATTAACAGATCGGATGATCTATCTATGGTAGGTCTATGAAATATATGACTTTTGACAAATTAAATTATAAGGTTAAAAATAAAATATGGTCGGCGATATTAAAATAATTAAATATGATATGAAATACAGAAAAGATCCAACACTTTGCTACGTGTCATGCAAGTATTACAGGTGGTGTATTGAAATTAACCTCTCTTGGTATATATACTTCAAGTTTCACATAAGTTAAGGAATAATAAAATAAGTATGTTTGTTTAAAATTTAATGATAAAAAAGGCAAAAGGAATACTAAATACAGAAATCTAAATGTTTTACCACGAGCTACAACTATTGCTTAACTTTCAGTTAAGTCTTATGTTCGTTTATAAAGAAGAAATCTAAAGATTGAAATGTTGAACGTAGCCCTTAGATCCCGATGTAGTTATGGTCAATACCCAGTCAGAAACACTAAGTGCTTAAATAACAAAATTTTGAAATGATTGATTATATTTGGCTACTACTTAGATCATTAAATGCTTAATTAATTAAATTATGAGGTAATATTTATAAACACAAAAGTTGATAAAGTAAAACCCGCAAGAACATTATGTGCACAATAGTACAAATAATGTTGAGAATACCTTAAGAACATTCATTTAAAAAGGGAATGTTTAATTTAACAAATTAGCAGGCAGAGTGCACGTATGAAATCCTCATTATAATATAAAAAACTTGATAGTAGGGTATATACATTGACAGCATCACCGTTTTACTATCCAAATAAAGAACCATTCATGTAAAACCATTGATAAATAAGCCAGGTTGCTAGTAAACCAATGGACCACGATTATACGGATCACTGTCTTGGTAAACCGATATACTGTGTCCCCACGGTTGAGTCTACGTGTAAAACCGTTGATCTCCGGAGTGTAAAACCCTCAGGTTGAAACCTTTGTTGTAAAGGCCTTCCAAGGTTAAAAAAACGAGACAGTCCACAGCAACCACTATTGAAGAATCCACTTAAATACCACACACTCAAATGCTGATGGACCTCCAATTTTTATGTCTATAAATCCTTTTAGCAGGTGTGGATTGGGTCCAAAAAACATGGGAATTTATCAAAAAAACACAAAAATATCAAATGCCCGTACATCCACAATTATTAATGTAGTAAAATCTAAAATCCCCTTTAATAATAAGATAACACGATAGTTATAGAAAAATATAGATTTTTACCCCCGAGACAAAACTTGGGTCTTCACCTTCTTCCCCTGTCAAAAAAACACCTAACCAACAAATCTTGCATGATGTCTTCAATTCCGCCTTGAAAAATGATAAGCCGAATGGGTTCAGAAATTCATCCTTATCAGCATATATCTATTTTCGAAAGATTAATCTAACAAACTATGTACAATAAAACTACCTTCGGAAATTTCTCCTGACGATAATCGGTACAAAACCGATCGCGAAAAATCTTCTAAGCGAGAACAAATCTACAATTAAACAAACGCACCTCACATAGCGAATCGCAACTTCAAATCGCCCACTGTGAAGGTTCCATTAGCCGGAACTCGTAACCAGAAACGGAACGACATAAAACAAATGACACTGTCAAATATTGTGTTCCGTCGTTGACTGTCAATTACTGTCAGATATAACCCATCAAAATTTATACAAAATATTCGGACAATAACATTGACATAAAATAATTACTTTGAAGAGATAAACAAATTCGATGAAATTAGCATCGTTAATGATTAAATACCTAGAAGAATATAATACATATATAAGACAACTAGCAATGAAACAGTGTCTATTTTTAGGTAAATCTAATAATAGGGTTGCCAACTTTCAACATTTAAAATAGAGGACCCAGTGGCAGATCCAGAATTTTCACAATGGGTGGAAGCAAAATTTTTACAACAATTTATAATAACATAGAAAGAAATTTTTCAAATTAAAGAAGCGATTTTCTACAAAACTTTTTATTTGAAAATATACAAAAAAATAAATATAAAAACACATCTACCTATTGCTATTTTTATATTTCGAGTTTGGTAGTATACAAAAGAGAACATTTTCTATATGATAGAGAAAAGAGGACAGAACGATAGAAAAGAGGACTGTCCTCTGGAATAGAGGACGGTTGGCAAGCCTATCTAACAGCCTAGTCTAGATAACCATACTGCAAATAGGATCATTGTACAATGTATTGTACTAGGGATAAAATACCATCTTCCTATCTATTGATGAGATGAAAGAAATTATTATAATAATGATACCTGCAGGTTAACAATATATACAGCTAGTTTACATCAAAATTAATAGCTCCCAAAGCTTATATCAACAATAAATAACGTTTTACCTTTTTTCGTATATTTTAACAAGGTGAGTCGAATTTTCCTCTACTAATTTGAGCGGCTAAAAATGCACGTTACAAAATCTTACCAGAGATGTAATGATACCTTCGAGTGAATGCTGCCTGTTTCAGAAGAGGAATATTTGAGTAAACTTGTAAGCTATTTGTTGAACCTTTTAAAATCCAATCAGCTGGAGAGTTTCAAACTTGAACAACTCTTATTTATACCGTGTGCATATCACAAAGTCCTCAAGAAGAAGGTCAGATTTAATATTATTCAGGTATTTCTTGTTTTAGAAATTAGTTCAACTAATCCACTCCTTAAATTCTTTACCGTTTGAATTAATTAGGCAAGAAGAGAGATAAATCTCTTTACTTTAAGAGAAGAAGAATAAAAGTTCTCATAATAGACTTTTGAGTTACTACAAGAGTCGTTTTATGAATCTTATTGCACCACAAGAGTGAGTGACAAATTTCAGATGTCATCCTTGTCATCTGTATAATTTAGTAAACAAACTATTTTGAAAATAATAATTGTAAAATAAATGTCTAGCTTAGCTAGGCAATAAAAACATATAGCATGAAGGCTTACATCATACTTCTGTACCTCTTCTCAATTTTAGGAGAGAATCGTCTTAGAAAATTGTACACTAAAGAAAATCTACATAATACTACGATGAAGAATAAATAATAAACGTAAATCACACCGAAAGTTCAACTAGTTCAAGTATGATAAATCTACCTGAAAATTATCTATACTTAAATATAATTTGATTATTTTGGTTTAAATATCGGTACTTCGTACATACATTCTTATATCCCAGGATATTTACTATAAATACGTGTTAATCCTGTAACACACTTTACGACAAGGACAAGTGTCGCCATCTAGAGTGTCTTAAAGACCCTATAGCAGCATACAAACTCCAAGGTTAGACCAAAATACTTCAAGGCCTTAGATAACTTTCTCTGAGTTCAAGGCACGAGAAATAATGAGATATTTCTATTAGAAATCCTCGTTCGACAGCTTAGGTAGGTAGGATGCCTAATAAAGTTTTATTCGTAGGTGCTTTAGTCGCAAGTATTTCCCAAGCTGCGTATAATGTGTATTAAAATAATAACATGATGAAAATTATGGATAGCAATAATATACCCGCTTGTATCCGCTGGGGTGGATAATTAAACCACGAAAATCTGATTGAAAGTGACAGACGAACGCCGCGGGATTCCATAAGTGTTTCTTCTTATCAAATTGGGACAGAACACTGAAAAGCATGGAATTGAATCCGCTGATGCGTTTTTAACACTTATATATTTCAATATACGTAAGACACAAATCATCGCAAGATCGATATCAGTTAAGCTACTCTTAAAAATCGACGATTACGTAAAAATTGCCAAAACTCATATTTTACTTACCAACATAAAACTTTTTTTTTTTTTTTTTCTAAAAACAAAGCCCAAGAACAAAACA